TCAGGTGTGCCTGACTATCTACAATCTGGACTTTGGTTCTTAGTAATGCCTCTTACCTGTTGTGGACTTTTGGAAGAATGCACAATTTCCCTGTGCCTTGGTGTTGCCATCTGCAACATGGCAATAATAATGGTATTCACTCAATAGGACTACTGTTTGTATCAAACTCATTCTTATGTGTCTAGGACTAAGTATCAACTCTTACTGTACACATAATTAATGTTTCTGTCAACATTTTCAGTGCAAATAAACTGGTAGGTTTTGAAAGTGTGGGTTTCTGGCTGGGTGCAGTGGCTCACACCTGTAATCTCAGCACTTTGGGAGGCTGAGGTGGGCAGATCGCCTGAGGTCTGGATTTTGAGACTAGCCTGGCCAACATGGTGAAACCTCATCTCTACCAAAAATACAAAAATTAGCTAGGCATGGTGACAAGTGCCTATAATCCCAGCTACTCAGGAGGCTGAGGCAGGGGAATTGCTTGAACCCAGGAGGCAAAGGTTGCAGTGAGCAGAGATTTTGCCATCGCACTTCAGACTGGGCAACAAGAGCAAAACTCTGTCTCGGGGAAAAAAAAAAAAAGTGTGAGGCGCACATCTTTTATGTGGCCTCCTTACTTACTTACCTGAACCAGGAGGCCGTAGGCTCGGCACTCTCAGAGTATAACTCACATCTTTTTTTTTTTTTTTGAGACGAGGTCTCGCTATGTTGCCCAGGCTGGAGTGCAGTGGCTATTCACAGGCACGATCCCACTACTGATCAGCATAGGAATTCTGACCTGCTCCGTTTTCGACCTGGGCCTGTTCACCTCTCCTAGGCAACCTGGTGGTGCCCTGCTCCCGGGAGGTCACCATATTGATGCCAAACTTAATGCAGCCACCCAATCAGCATAGCGCACTAGAGCCCAGAGCTCCTTGGCTCAAGCGATCCTTCCACCTCAGCCTCCTGAGTAGCTGGGACTACAGGCATGCGCCACCATGCCCAGCAAAAATGTGGGTTTCTTTAACATACTTTTTAATTAACAATGTGATATTTAAGGTATTTTATCTTAATACTTTACAGTATATTAAGTTTACAACCAATTATGAAGTGCTTACATCAGTTAAACTTAATAAACCTGTGTTGTTTTATTTGCCTCTGTGTGCATATGAACTATGATCAATCAGTGCTTAAATAAGTACTTTACTCATAAATTCACAAGTTAATAAACTGGGACCTGGCTCTGAGGAACCTGACCAGATACCATTTCTTTTGGTAATCTGGCTGCCTGTTACATACTCTCCTGAAGGCAATACTGCTGAGAGCCCTTCTACTGGAGCAGTTATCATCTCTCCTGTGCTGATGGCTAGGGAAACTTAGGCACCAAAGGGGCTGCTCCACCAGCCTGGCTGACCCTTCCTCTTCTCCAGATGGACTGGACATGAGGACCTGCTGAGCCTGGAGTGGAAAACCTTAATACTACCCTGCAGTATCCATCCAGTCCTGGGTCTTTATAATCCTCCATTCCTGCAGACACCAGATAGACCCACCTCGGGCCACAAAACTCCATGCTATAGAGGCAGCCCCATCCTACAGGCCCATCTCTCCCTTCTCTCACCTCAGGACCCATCTGAAAGAAAACCTTAAGATTCTCGCTCCTAAATAGGAGCCCCAGTCCTTACCCTAATCCAGGCCTCTACCCACCATGTCTTGGATATCTCCAGCCCAGATCGCTTCCCAAACTTCCAGATGTGAGTAAGCAAGCTGCCCATGTGGTCATGACACCTCCACTCTGGGACATCTCAGGATCACCATGCCCAAAACCTACTCCCTGTGTAGCCTTCCCCATCTCCATTCTTCTTGATATTCAGGAACAAACAAAAATACAAATAAAAATCCAGAATGGCTCTTCATTCCTTACTTTCTTTCACAGTCACATCTGATGCAACAGGAATTCCTGTCTGTTCAGTTTTTGAAATCCACCCAAGATCTGATCACTACTCCTTCTCTATGGCCCAGTTCTACTTGACTCTCCACTAGTCTATTGAGTTTACCTACTCACAGGTCTGTCTTTACCCGCCTCACCCTCACTCCAGTCTGTTTTGCCTTTGGTAAACTTTTTGAAACAGATCGTGTCACTCTTCTGTCCCCAGCCCTCCGCGGCCACCGTAGCCCCCTCAGGATGAAGGCGGAGCTGCTGTGGCTCCACACTTGACTCGTCCCTTCCCAAGCTGCCTACTACAGACACCAGGAGGCCTCAGGTTCGGGACTCTCGGAGTGTGCCTCACATCTTTGCAAGCCGGGCCCCTTGCCCTCCCTTCCTAATCCATCACACTGCGTATCAGAAACAGGACCCAGCCCACAAAAAGCCCCACCACCCGGGGACCTGGGCAGGCGGCCCTCACAGGGCTTTAGGATTCAGGGGACGCCAGGAGAACGCGGCGCTCACCTGAGCGGGCTCCCTCAGCGCGGCCGCCGCCATCAGAGCCTGTGGGTTGAGCCGGGCGGGGGAGACAACGACAGACCGAGGAGAGCACCTGGGCCACTCTAGGCGCCGCCACCGAGCCTCAGACTCCCCTCTGAGCGGCGAGAGCAGTGCGCGTTGCTAACGCGCCTTCCGGCGCTGGTAGCCTCAGCCCACAACCAGCTTCCCGCAGGCTAAGTTCACCGTTAGAGCAACGGAAGTGACCGCCGAGGGGCGACGCCGGAAGTCTCGCCGATTGCACGTCGCACGCTTGGGCAGGTCTCTTTTCATTGCCCAAGCGTCGCCGCCTAGCGGCGCGGCGCCTTCTAGGCAACATAGTTCCCAATGCACCAAACTTCGAGGAAGTGGGCGTAGCTGCGGGGGTGGAGATTGGAGATGATAGTTAATGATGGAGATGTAAATGATAGATGATGATGGAGATGGAGATGGAGATGGAGATAGATGGAGATGGTGATTGAAGATGATAGGTAATGATGGAGATGGAGATAATAGATGATGATGGTGATGGAGATGATGGAGACGGAGATAGAGATGATGGAGATGATGGAGATGGAGATGGAGGAGAAATCAGGGTATAGAAGTTCTCTCGGACTCATCCTGAGACTGTTGTAATTGGAGATGGGCCTGGATTTCAGTTTCCTGCAGCTGATACTCCAATCTTTCCTTCTTTTGAAGGACTTGAAGAGGATCTTCAGGGCCACAATAAAGAGTTTTCTTTGGGCAGAGCCACGTATACATTCCCAACTTTCCCTTGGCAAGGGGACACCCAACGTTAAAGTCAACAGTGGCCAAGCAATGCCTGATGCATGATAATAAGAAAACGCTCTGAATTCTGGATGTAGGTGACGATAGTGTAGGGGAGCCCAAGGATTTACTTTCCTCCTTTACCCCATGCTCATTTGTGCTCTTTCCTTCCTCAAGGACCCAACATTGGTATACAGTCACAACAACAGGTGGCAAACCCGTAAGTGAACTCCCCCTGAATTTCTCCCCTTCATCCTTTTCTGCTCCATGTTCCCACTTCTCTTCCATTTCCAAATATAAAGCCAATTCCTCACACGTGGGTAGAATACTAGATTGTTGTTTACAACACACAACTATTGATTAAAAAAAGATGTCAACCCTTTATTATATGTCATCCCACTACCTCCATTTCCATTGAATCTAGTCCTCTCATGTCAGTTTAATTTCCCTGCTTCTTTTCCTGCCCCTTCCATCTGTGGGCTGAATAACAGCCAATTTCAACACAGCCTTGGGGTGACTTATGAGGACAAGAGAAAATGAAGCCTTCCCTCCTTCTTGGGGATTTCTGGAACGGGTGTTCAGTACTAGTGACTCTGAAAAGGAGGAGGGGAGTCAATATTGGGATTGAGAATATGGTAGACTAGAGAGACACATGTTCTTTACCCGTTCAAACTATGGCATTAGTTATTTCAGTTAGACAATTATGTGGCATGTGGAAGGGAGGGGAGGAGGGGAGGAGGAGAGTGAGGAATGATGAATCCATGACAGGAGTTGGACAATGTGTAGACAAATTTCCCCTTCTTAAACCAAGCAAAGGAATAAATGTTTTACTTCCTTGAGAACATCTATTAGAATGGATTCTGAATCATTCATCTAATAGATTATGGGTAAGCCATGAAAATTAGCTGACCATCATGACATGAACCTTTGTGAACAAATCCAACAAACATATTACGGAATCTTTCACACAGTAGAAAACATATAGAAAATTCAGAATCTGGCAATAAGAAACCCATAAAACATTTAGCAAAATATATATATGTGGTAAGACTATAAAGACATTAATAGAATGATTATCAAAATGATTAACAAAAATGTCATGGAAATGTTAGCTTGATGGGGTGTGTCAGGCATGTAAGGTGATGTGAAAAGAGAGGATGCCTAGGAAACTGTTTTTTAGCCAGGTGTGGTGGCAGGCGCCTGCAATCCCAGGAGAATCACTTGAACCTGGGAGGCAGAGGTTGCAGTGAGCCAAGATCACACCAGTGCACTGCAGCCTGGGCGACAGAGCAAGACTCTGTCTCAAAAAATAAAAAATAAAAAAAGAAAGAAACTATGTTTTTCATGACTGGTTTTTTCACAGATGTGGTATTAATTAAAAAACAAGCTATACCTCTTCTGAACATTATAGTGAATTGTGTGACAGTTTTGAAATAAAGAGTATATGTATACAACTTAATTTTATCACAGGAAGAGACAATCAACTAAAACTGACTCATATGTGTAGAACTGCAAATAATGTGATTGGTGAGGATAGAGCAGACTATTTAATCATTTGGCTTAGGTAAAATCATTATCTACATAAGAAATTCACTTATAGCCAGGTGCGGTGGCTCACGCCTGTAATCCTAGCACTTTGGGAGGCTGAGGTGGGTGGATCGCCTGAGGTCAGGAGTTCAAGACCAGCCTGGCCATCATGGTGAAACCCCATCTTAAGAAAAAAAAAAGAAAAAGAAATTCACTTATATCTCATTGAGTTAATAAAACAAATCCCATGAAGCTATTTTTTTTTTAAAATAGCAACACATGCTGGGTCTATATATTTTCTCTCTAACTTCTGGAATCCATTTTTATTTCCAACCTTTAGGAATATTTATATGTTTATAAGGAATGAGAACATCAGAGTTTGAGTCCAAGACTCTGCCTTTGGCCATATGTCCTTTAGGGCTGGCAAGCACATTCCTCAGTGTTTGGAAAGCCTAACCTACCCAAGGTGGCATGAGAAGCAGATGCACCTCAGGGTCTTATCATAGGTGCTCAACACATGAGCAGCTGCAGGGAATGAGTGAAGACTGAGGGCTGTAACCAGCTAAATAAATTTTGATGACATCTCCTGCCCTCCCCAAGTTTAGAGCTTAATGGCATGAGTCACCACCCAGCAACTCTAGACTTCCATGGAGATGGCCATCTGGTCCTTAGACACTTGAAGTCTGGCCACCTCATCTAGAGAGCCCAAACTAACTTTCCATCTCAACTATCCGTATAAGGAAAAGTAGACAGGGAGATGAGGCCATAGGATGGGAAAATATAACCATTTCATCAAGGAGGAAGGAGCCTAATATTTCAGAAGAGCAGTTCGGCTCCACAACAGGTAAGCAGCTCTACGTCCTGTTATTGTCCAAACACAGTCTTATGCTCAAGCCTTGATTCACCTTGTTTTGTGTAGTAATGCTTTATTCTTTATACTGCTAAGTAGTACTCCATTGTCTGTATACACCATAGTTTGTTAATCCACCTCATCTGTCTGGTTTTGTAGAATTTGCTAAGTCCATATTGGGAGCTGAACCTAGAATGGTAAAAACGAACAAGCAAACGTAAATAAAAAATGCCAGAAGTTGTTCTAAATAGTGGTGAAAATAACAGGGGATATAAAGGGGAGAATGTGAGGGAATGGCAGTTGTACCAAAGACACATCTGGAAATGTTTAAGCTGAAGGCTCAGGACAGTGTCCATTCAGATGAGTTGGATGTGGGCGGCTTTCTTGAAGGTGATAATTGAGTTGACACCAAAAAAAAAAAATGAGAAGGAAGCAGCTATGAATAAAAACAAGTTTAAAATATTCAGGTAAAAGGTAGAGCAAGTGACAAAGAGATGTGACCTGGTGACGCCGGACGCCGCTCACTAGCGTTGGTGCCATGGGAACTACATTACCCAGAAAACTTGGCGGCTGTGGGCCAATCAAAGCCCAGGAAATGGGCGTTACCGTTGGTGTGGAAAACGCCAGGGCGGGACTTCCTCAACCATCCTCGGGTGGACATTTTGTTTGCTTTTCCATTAATCTACTGGCTTAGTCTCCGGAACGCGATGTCAGACCTGAGGTGACAGAAACGGGAAAACGTGAGACAGCGTCATCTTCCCTGAGGAGAGGTGGACCTGAGATTCGACAGTGGCGTTGTCTGAGTAACCTAGCCGCTGGGTTTGTTCCTTCACGGCTGATCCAGGTTCTCACTTGTCGCCACCCTTCCGTAGTTCACTGGCCTGATGGCGGCGGCTGCACCGATGGACCAGGCGCAGGTGGGTGCTGCGTCCGCTAGTCCGCGCTCTGACCCCCATCTCTCAATCCTAAAGTTTCGAATGAACGGCTTCTCGGGTTACTGCAGCTCAGGCCCCTGTATCTAGAACAGCGGGGCACTTTTGCTTGGAACCCAATTTGACATGAGTTGAAGGACGTTCCAGGCAGAGGGACAAGCGTATGCAAAGGCTCAGGGGTGGTACACAGCTGGAGCGTTTGGGAAAACTGGGTCTTTGGTGTCTGAAAGGATCAGAGTGCGTTGTAAGTGATCACACCTGGAATATCATCCTGAGCAGCTGGGTTTCTATTCTGAGGGTGATGGGAGTCATGGAAGGTTCTAAACAAAGGAGAGCCACTATCTGAGGGTTTAAAGTATTCCATAGACAGCTTGGGGGAACAGACTTTTTTGGCCATGGGGGCGGATAATGAGCACTATTCCGAGGTAACACAGTTAAGAGGCATCCTTGAAGATGGAAGCACAGAGGGTAGACATTCAGCCCCCAGGTACTTTGTAACAGCATAGGAACGTGGGACGGGCCTGAGCCTCTGGGGTTCCTTCAAGATTGCTTGGCTCTCACAGTCTCCCTTTTCTCCACAGGTTCACATGAACTCAGAAGTTATTATGGACCATATACAGGTGAGGGGAGAATGTCCATACTCTCACAGATCCCACCCCGCCCAACATGCTCTCCAGGATTGTGGTGTTATATAGAACACTTTCCTGCTACTCTCCGATCTCTTGGGTCTGAGGACTCTGGAGAAGCCCCAAGCCCAGGGTCCTGAGTCTGGGCCAGGGGTTTTATGGAGGGGTTTCCATTTCTGCCAACCACTGGAATATGGTTGGAAGGTTGTTCCAGGCACAGGAACCAGTCTGTGCAAATACTTAGAGGTGAGGCTGAAATGGGAGTTTTCAAGAAATTGCAGGTCTCTTATCATGTCTGGTGGGAACCAAGAGCAAGGGGTGGGAATCATCCTGAAATAGCTTAAAGCTGATTATGTAGATTGGAGGTTAAAAGAGAATATTCATTTCATTTAGTGAGCCAGGAAGGTGATGGTAGAGAGCCAGAGATAACTGTGATCCAAAGAGTGATGTACATGTAGAAAGAAGTGTAGACTAATGACCTCTGGGCTTAAAGGAGAAAAGCGAGCCCAACTTTGGTTGTCTGGTAAGCATGATATTAGTGACCCCAGAGGAATTTGCTTACAGAAGGGTGAAGCCCTGTATGCTAGGCACAGAACTTAGAGGGTGACAATTCTTCACCTGCCTGTGGTTGCTATGGGTAGACACAGTCATCATTAGGACCATGAGGAGGGAGAAAACACCAATGGCACCTGATCCTCATATGTCCTCTGAGTTAAGTAGGAAGGTATACAGGATGGCGATGTGTGGGGGCATGGATGGGGGTTCTTGGGAGAGATGCTGCTCATGGACTTGGCTCTCCCAATTGTGGCAGGGGCAGGTGAACTTTGAGGACGTGTTCGTGTACTTCTCCCAAGAGGAGTGGGTGCTCCTTGATGAGGCTCAGAGGCTCCTGTACCGTGATGTGATGCTGGAGAACTTTGCACTTATGGCCTCTCTGGGTAAGGCCATCACATCCACCCCAGTGACTTGGACTGGGCCCTGCCCTTCCCGTTTTTTTCAGAGCATCCTTGTCCTTCCTACATCAGAGCCATGGACACTGCCCCCTTTCTTAGTTCCGGGAGTACGTTCTCTGAGTGCTGGGCTTGGGCTGTTTGTTCTCCTACCTCCTCCTCCTGAGCATTCCCAAAACCTCTTGTCTCAAAGCCTTACAGGGACGGATTCAGGAGTTATGCATTGTATTTTCAGCCCAGTGTGTCACATCCATCTTGTCCTTTTCTTGTCTGAATTCCTCTGTCTGTATCCATGATACCTCTGTGCCTGGGATTCTGCACTCTTCCTTTAGCTGACAGTTCCTGTGGCCTGCCTATACCAGGAATTGTATGGACCATTATAGTCACTACTTGCTAGGACCACTGGGCTATTCCTGCAAGACCCTACTCTGAGATTATTTTAATAATATTTAGTTTTCTATATGGGTTATCCAAACCAGTGCTTTTCTGTCTTTCCCTAGGACATACATCTTTTACATCCCACATAGTTGCCTCACTGGTGATGGGTACCTGACTGGATGGACGTGACCCCAGTTGTTGCCACAGGGACTCTAAGTGGGAGTGGCCCTGGCAAGTGGGAGCTGGGGAAAGGTGTGATATCAGGGCTGGGTTCATATCATTCCATAGCCTCCTAGTGCCTACAGTTGTATTAGTGCTAGGGACACTGAGCCATACTTCATTTTTATCTACTTTCTCATTTATACACTTGACTTTCATGCTCTGGCCTTTGGCCTCTGGATGTTTCATACCTCTGCCTCCAAGTCTTGCCTGTTCCTCTCCGTGGCTTGTTCTACAGTGCCTTCCAACATTGTTCTAAACTTAGTGTTTCATGAGATGTGTATCCCAAATAATCCTTAACCAACTACTAAGTAGCAATTTGATTTTCTTTGGTATGGACCATAACCTTTTGCACAACTCTTACCTGTCCCCAGCAGCCAAGAAAATCTGATTGTGAATGACTTTGAGACCCTGCCTCTTTTTTGTGCTGTACCCCACATCTTTGTCCTCTCCCAGTTGAGGCCTCCTCCATTCTATGACATTTAGATGCCAACTACTGTATAGGACACATTTGCTGAACTTGAGTTTGGACCCTTGTCCTAACGACAGTCCTATGACCTTGGTCTTAGTTGTGTTAGACACATATTTGTAGTGAGGCTTCCCCTCTTCCACCTGTGTCAATTTGTACTTCACTAGCATTTCTCTGTTTTCAGGTTGTTGGCCTGGAATGAAGGATGAAGAGATACCTTTTGAGCAGAGCTTTTCTATAGGATTGTCACAGATCAGGATTCCTAAGGGAAGTCCTTTTACTCAGAAGGCTTACCCCTGTGGGACATGTGGCCTGGTCTTAAAAGACATTTTGCACTTGGCTGAGCACCAGGAAACACACCCAGGGCAGAAACCATACATGTGTGTCCTGTGTGGGAAACAGTTCTGGTTTAGTACAAACCTTCACCAGCACCAGAAGCAGCACAGTGGAGAGAAACCCTTTAGAAGGGAAAAGAGCAGGGCCTTTCTTGTGAACAACTGCCCTGTCCAATCATCAGAGATGTCTTTTGTGACAGGGGCTTGTAAGGACTTCCTAGCCAGCTCAGGCATTTTCCAGCACCATGTCCCTCACAATGAATGGAAGCCACACAGCAGCACCAAGTGTAAGGAGGCCTTTCACCGTGGAAAAAGGCATTACAAATGCAGTGAATGTGGGAAAACCTTTAGCCGCAAAGACTCACTCGTTCAACACCAGAGAGTCCACACTGGAGAAAGGCCTTATGAGTGTGGTGAATGTGGGAAAACCTTCAGTCGCAAACCCATACTTGCTCAGCACCAGAGAATCCACACTGGAGAAATGCCTTACGAGTGTGGCATTTGTGGGAAAGTTTTTAATCATAGTTCTAACCTGATTGTACATCAAAGAGTACACACTGGAGCAAGGCCTTACAAGTGCAGTGAATGTGGGAAAGCCTATAGCCACAAGTCTACACTTGTTCAGCATGAGAGTATCCATACTGGAGAAAGGCCTTATGAGTGCAGTGAATGTGGAAAGTACTTTGGTCACAAATACAGACTCATTAAACATTGGAGTGTTCATACTGGAGCAAGGCCTTATGAGTGTATTGCATGTGGAAAGTTCTTTAGCCAAAGCTCTGACCTTATTGCACATCAAAGAGTTCATAATGGTGAAAAGCCTTATGTGTGCAGTGAATGTGGAAAAGCCTTTAGCCACAAACATGTCCTTATTCAGCATCATAGAATTCACACTGGAGAAAGGCCATATAAGTGCAGTGAATGTGGGAAGGCCTTCAGGCAGAGAGCTTCCCTCATCCGACATTGGAAAATTCACACTGGAGAAAGGCCTTAGGCTGGAAGATAGATACTCCATTTTTTTTGTTTAACATAATAACTGACCCCAGAGAGAAGCGCCAAGAGTAGCAGTCTTTATGTGTAGCCAGTAGCCAAAAGTAGAACTTTATACACTCAAACACTCACTCTAGGGAGGTTCTTCTGAGTGCCAGCTATATGGGAAGCTTTCTGGAGCTATGCTGAATTTTCTAGACCCTTGCTGGAATTTCATCAAGGTAGTGCCTCTGATAGAAGCCATCTGTCTTTGTGCTGGAAGAGTCCTGCATTGTGCAAAAGTAACCCTAATGTGCTTCAAAAGGCAGGCCTCTGTGCTTCTCCCTTCCCTTGAGGGAATCATCAGTAGCCTGTGGCCATCAAGGATTCTCACTTTTTTCTGCCCCACAACTGGTTGAAGCATGAGCACGACCCAGTTTTAGCCAGAAAGATAGGAGCTTTGTTCTGCTGACCACTAGCAGAGGGTTCCCTTCTTCATGGATATGGTTGATCTCACATGGCACTTCTGATTGATTTGTCCGGGCTCTAAGACATCTAACCTGAAATTGGCTGCCTCATATTCTGGTTTTGCAACAAATGCCTTAATTTTTAGACTACCATAAATCTTGGGGATTCTGTTCGCTATGTGGGTTAGGTTTAGAACAGAATTGGGCTAAGCCAGTATGAAGGGATGAACAGCTTTTGTGAGAGCTCCAACTATTTGTATCTCTGAGGTGATAGTAGGATGGCAAAGAATAGCTCTTGTTCTACTGTCAGCCTAACTTGCTTTGCTGCTTAAGGAAAGAATGCCAGTCTTTGCAGCCCTAATCTTTTGGTCTGTATGTCAGGATTTTTGCATAATTGAGGTCACCCTAAGCAGTGGGCATTTGTTGTGATAATCTCTGGTGTATCTGGGAGCAACGTGAATTAGGTCCCTTTTCCCCAGAAGATATTTCTTATTCTCAAGGCTTCTTAAGGAGAATTTGAACTCGTGGGACCTGTCAAGATCTCTGAAATCTGTTTTTCAGTAGGAAGTTGACACTGGCTGTCCTCCAAAAGGCCCAGGTAGGAATCATAATTGGTGCAGAGACCCAAATTATTAAGGGGATGGGAAAACTGCAGCAAACCATAAGGAATATGACCCTTCTAAAGGTACATCCACATGTGTTTCCATTACTCTGGCTCTACTATGAGGGTTTACAGAAATATTCCCATACCTGTGTCTCTTATGGCTAAGATTACTGTCCAGAAGTCAGTCTAAACATTTTTGCAATAAACTGCACATATTTACAGTGTACCGCTTGATAAGTTTTGATACACTTCTTTCCCAAAAGTTTCCTGATTTCCTTTATATTTTCTCACTTTCCTTCGCCCATCCCCAGGCAGCCATTGATTTGTTGTCACTGTAGATTTATTTGTCTTTCCTAGAATTCAACAGAGATACAGTAATTTAATATGTATTCTAATGTTCCTGATTTCTTAAATTCTGAAATTATTTTATGGTTCATAATGGTGTTCTGTGAGTCATAGTTCATTTGTTTTCATTTATACTTTGCTAAGAGTATTCCATTGTAGAGAAATAGTTACAAAGCAAGTGATCCAGGAGAGAACTCACGCAAGAACAAAGCCACTTTGAGACCAGCCTGGTTGACATAGTGAAATCCCATCTCTACTAAAAATACAAAAAACTAGCTGGGTATGGTGGCAGGTACCTATAATCCCAGCTACTTGGGAGGCTGAGGCAGAAAAACTGCTTGAACCTGGGAGGCAGAGGTTGCAGTGAGCCAACATTGTGCCACTGTACTCCAGCCTGGACAACAGTGTGAGACTCCATCTCAGAAAAAAAAAAAAAAAAAAGGAACAAAGTCATAGTATTTGTCAGTACCTTAAACTGAAAGTGATGAGCCATCATTTCTGCTATATTTCATAGGTTACCCTGGCTAATCCTGGTTAAAGGTGGAAGAAAACTACACAAAGGTGAAAATAGGGATTTTTAGGGTGTTCTCTTGGACTCTAGTGTTCATAATCCTATGTGTTTTTTTTTTCTTTTTTAGTTGTTTAATGTGAATTACATTAACTGATTTTTTTTTTTTTTAATGTTAAGTCAGCCTTACATTTCTGGAATAATTCCCATTTGGTCATGATGTACATTGTTGAATTTGATGTGCTGTTTTGTTTTTATTTTTTGTAACGAGTTTTGCACCAATGTTCATGAATGATCTTAGTCTCTAATTTTCTTTCTTGCTTGCTTTCTTGCTTTTTTTTTTCTTTCTAATTTTCTTTATTTCTTGCCCAGGTTTGGCTTTGGTACCAGCATAATGCTAGCTTCACAGAATAAGTTGGGAAGTATTCCGGCTCTTCAACTTTGTGGAAGAGTTCGTGAATAATTGGTAGTATTTCTTTCTTAAATGTTTGGTAGAATTCACCAAGGAAGTTGTCTGGGCCTGAAGTTTGTTTTGTAGGAAAGTTTATAACAACAAGTTTGATTTCCATGGTAGAAGGCTGTACACATTATATATACATCTGTCTGTCTATGTGTGTGTGTGTGTCTGTCTGTCTGGGCCTGAAGTGTGTTTTGTAGGATGGCTTCTAACTACAAGTTTGATTTCCACGGTAGATGGAGGGCCATACTAGTCATATATACCTCCGTCTGTCTGTCCATCCATCTGTCTGTCACTCCATCCATCCATCTCTAGAGTGAACTTTGATGGTCTGTGTCTTTCAAGGAGTTTGTCTGTTTCACTTAAGTACTCAGATTTTTCAAAATATTATTTTCACACTTGTAGAACTTGTAGTGGTGCTACCTCTTCTATTCTTGATACTGGTAATGTCCATATTTCTTTTTAACCTTTATTGGTTTGGGTAGAGATTTATCAATTTTATAATTTTATTTATCTTTTTTTTCTTTTTCTTTTTTTTTTAAGACGGGGTTTCACCATGTTGGTCAGGCTGGTCGTGAACTCCTGACCTCAGGTGATCCGCCCACTTTGGCCTCCAAAGTGCTTGGATTACAGGTGTAAGCCACCACGCCCGGCCAATTTTATTTATCTTAAAGTAGTTGGTATTTTTGAATTTTCTGTTTTCTGATATTGGGATTTTTTTCCATTTTGACCTTTACTAGTGCCTTCTGCTTTTATTGGATTTCATTTCTTTTGCTACTTTTTAACATGGAAGCTGAGGTCCTTCATTTCATACCTTTGTTTTTTTTCCCTAATATGGGGGGGAATGTTAATGTTAAAAATCTAAGAACTGCTTTAGGCCAGGCATAGTGGCTCACACCTGTAATCCAAGCACATTGGAGGCCAAGGCAGGCAGATCACCTGAGGTCGCGAGTTCAAGACCAGCCTGACCAACATGGTGAAACCCCGTCTTAAAAATAAATAAATAAATAAAAATTTAAAAAAAAAAAAAAAAAAAAAAAAGAACTGCTTTAGTTACCTACCACCAAGTTTGATGTGGTTTCATTTTGAGTTTAGAATGTTTTCCAGTTAAAAAAATTCTTCTTGACACATGGCTCTTTTTAAAATGTATGTTATTTAATTTCTAAATATTTGGGGATTTTGCTTATCTTTCTAGTAATTCCTGCATTAATTCTATCGTGGTCAGAGTATATTAACACTTGAATTATCTACATTTATTGAGATTTGCTTTGTGACTCAGAATATGGATGATCTTGGTATGAGTTACATGTTCACTTGAAATATATATTGTACTCTCGTTTGATGAAGGGGTTGTATAAGTGTTGATGAGGTAAAAATGGCTGATAATGTTATTTAAGTTTTTTTATATCTCTATTGACATTCTTTTTTTTTTGGTTCTAACAAAAAATTATTTTAAGAGGATTGTTGCCATCTCTGAATATCAAATTGGATTTACTTCTCTGTGCAGTTCTGTCAGATTTTGCTTCACATATTTTGATGTCTTTTTATTAGGTGAATAATAAATATTTCCTATTTTATGTCCACTCAATGTGTTGACCACTTTATGATCCTTTTAATCTTTAGTAATATTCTTTGTTCTAAAATCTCCCTTGTCTGATACTGTTTTGAACTCCCGACTTCAGGTGATCCGCCCACCTTGGCCTCCAAAGTGCTTGGATTACAGGTGTGAGCCACCATGCCTGGCTGTCTGATACTGTTAACATGGTTTAATTTCAACTGGACACTGAATTTTAAGTACTGTGTTGTTTTGTTTTGTTTTGTTTTGTATTTCTATAGATATTCTTGATTTCTTTTTTCTGTTACATGGTTAAGTTACTTGGAAACAATATGATCTTTTGGGGGTCTTGGTTCTAAGCATTTCTAGAGGAGACTATTGCAGCATACATTTTAAGACGAATTCCCTACTGAGACAATCTTTTCTATATTCTCTACCTAATGCTTCATGAATTATGAGGTTTTTTACTCAAGCTGGTTGGAATGAGAACTATCATCTTTTACCACCTGCTGACTAAAGTGGCCTCAAGCCTTGAATAAACATCAGTGGCAGTCAGGCAGTAGAGACTGTGGAACTTGGGTAATCCCCAGTACTGTGCTGGTCATAGAGTCCAAGGGTAGACTAGCATTACTGTGATGCTAACTGTGATGGCCACAGGAGTCCCTGTGTCACCTCTCCCCCAATTAAAGGCAGCCTGGTATATAAAGGGAGACTCTATTCTTGGGGGAATGAAAGAGAAGAGAGTGAGGAACTTTGCCTGGGAACCCAGAAAATTCTCCTTCTCTTTCCCACATCTATCTAGTCTGGGTATCCAGGAGTCTGAAAGATTGATTGCATACTTGGGATTATGGCACCCTCTAGTGCTGAAATGGTTTCAGTCACCACAGTTTAGGGAACTCAGCACTCAAGTCTCCTTTGAATTCTCAGAAGGCCCTCTGAAGAAGCATGTGTACAAACAAGGGCAGACTGTGAAGACTGGAGTAAATAACAAACTCTTCAGTGCTCAGACATATACGGATATCCGTAAGCATCAAGAACATTCAGGAAAATATGATCTCACCAAATAGACTAAATAAGCTGCCCAGTGACCAACCCTGGAATGATACAGATCAATCAGACAAGGAATATCTTTCAGACAGGGAATTCAAAATAACTGTCTTGAAGAAGCTCAAAGAATGTCAAGAAAACATGAAGAAAGAATTCCAAAATTTAGCAGAGAAATTTAACAAAGAGGTTGAAATAATTACAAAACACACGCATGCACGCGTGCGCACGCGCGCGCACACACACACACACACACACACACACAGAAATCCTAGAGCTAAAAAAGAATGGATGAACTGAAAAATACAACAGCAGCATAACTGATTAAGCAGAATAACTTCTTAGCTTAAATACAGGCTATTGAAAATACAGAGAAGAAAAAGGAAAAAGAATGAACTGTACTTAAAAGATATAGAAAATAGCCATAAAAGAGCAAGTCTAAGAGTGATTAGCTTTAAAAAGGAGGTAGAGAAAGATGTAGGGATAGACAATTTATTCAAAGAAATAATTATAGAGAACTTTCCAAATTTAGAGATACATATGAATATCCAGGTATGAGAAAGTCAAAGAATGCCAAGCAGATTCAGTACAAAGCACATAGCAATCAAACTCTCAAAGGTCAAGGACAAAAAGAGGAAAGGTAGCAAGAGAAAAGAAGCAAAGAACATATAAAGGAATTCCAGTATATCTGGTAGCAGTCTTCTCAGCAGAAATCTTATAGGCCAGAGGAAAGCGAGAAGTCACATTTAAAGTGCTGAAGGAAAACATTTTCAACCAGGAATATTCTAGTCAGCAAATATATTCTTCAACCCATGAAGGAGAAATAAAGGCTTTCCCAGCAAACAAAAGCTGGGGAATTCATCAACACCAGGCCTGTCTTACAAGAAATAGTAAAGACAGTTTATCAATCTGAAAGAAAAGAATGCTAATATGCCACAAGAAATCAACTGAAGGTATAAAACTTACTAGCAAAAGTAAATAAACATGCAAATTGAGAATATCCTAATACTGTAGTTCTGGTGTGTGAACCCCTCAAATCTTTAGTATGAGCACTAAAATACAAATGTTATCAAGAATAATAACTAGAATAACTTTTTAAGAGATAGACAATATAAAAAGATATAAAGTGAGACAACAAAAAGACAAAAGGGGAGTGATGAGTTACAGTGGAGCATTCTCTGGATGTCCTGAATTTGAATGTTGGCCTGTCTTGCTAGGTTGGGAAGTTTTTTTTTTTTGGATGATATCCTAAAGTGTGTTTTCCAACTTGGTTCCATTATCCCCATCTCTCTTTTTTTAAATTTTTTATTTGAAA